CAATTGTTGAGTTGAATCAAGTTATAAAGTCCGAACTAGGAGATATAAACTTGCATTTGCAAGAAAAAAAAGTCAGAATTGTGAGATAAAATAGGTAAATGTTATGTAAAATGTTATAGGTTTAAATATAAACCTATTTATACATGTATTTCATGCATGTATTTCAACTGTAGGGCTAATACAATATGTCCCCTATATGAATATTATATAGACCTATTGTTTAAATCAAATTTATGCTTTAAAATAGGGTAATCATAGCAGGTTTCATCCATTGTTTGTCCGTTTAAACGTCTGCGTTTTGCTTCAAATGGCGTCTTTGACGACAGTATTTATGGAAATAATATACTTTATAAGAATATGCGTGCAAAACTAAAAGCACTGTAATGTTTTTTCAGACATTTAACTGCATGCTAATTGAAATTAAGTGAAAATGTATTATAGTTTAAATTTATCAATGCAATTAGTTGAACTTTAAAGAGTTTTTTGACCAATTTAAGTAGGACTTAAGTACAATTTTACGTAATTTCATAATTACTTCTATTATCTTTGAAATATGGTTAAAGTATACAGCCAAATATACAATAAAAATATACTTTCATGTCTTTTCTATTGAAACTTGTATGTTATGCATTTAAATATATTTGTGATTATTGCTGATGCACCGATATGGAATTTCTCGGCCGATACCGATAAGCGATTATTCGGAATGATATCTGCCGATACCGATAATTTGGTTTTCTTAAGGGAAAAAAATCTGTAAAAATGCTGTTAACTATACAGGGAACCCTCTCATTTGGAACATTCGAGGCTAAAATGAACAACAACACTATTATATTCAATACTACTTATTTTCAGATATAATAATCACACTCAAATAAAAAAACATCAGTATACAACTCAACAGCACATAGTTTTGATCAAAACTTGTCTTCATGACAGATTTATTCAAAACTACATATGTAATTAACAGTAAATAAGCTCCCTCTTTTTTTCCTTTTGATTGACAGGAAATAATCGGACCTGATCATTGGCTGTTTTTAAACAAATCGGCAGATAATTGTTTTTATTGGCTGATACCGATTATTGGCCGATACATCGGTGCATCCCTAATAATTACATATTTAAAATATATTCACTTTAAATGTAGTATCAAATAATAGACTTATGTTAAAATTATCATTTAAATGTACTTAAGTATGTTAGTCAACACATCAAAATAAGTGCATGAGAAAAGATTGTAAACATGGGTTAAAATGTAGTATAAAGTCAAATTTATATTTTGACATTATTACAAAGTAACAGTCATGAAAGTGCACTTAAGTGGCCTATTATTTCAATAATACTGTATTGTCTGTATGTAAAGTTTTCCAAAAAAAAATCCTTCAAGATTTGAGGTACACTACAAGTGCACATTCAGTACAATTAAACACGCTTCTTTTTCACAAGGGAACCCCAATCAGTTTACATTTTAAACCACCATAGATAGACACACCATGCCGCTCCACAGCCATTCATGCATTCACGTAGAATTCCATTTTCTGCATGTGAGTGTTAAAATCAGTGGATTCATGGTGTTCTCTGCTGCAGTATGATTTTAACAGGCCTGGAGAATACACTGTATAGTGTGATGGCTTTACTCGTGCTTGTAGAGTCCCAGAGGTTTTACATTCTGTTTAGCTCAACATCGTATCGTTCACACTGTTCTTTAGGCTGTGCTCAGAGGCAGCGTCTTCTCTTTGAACTGTTTCATACATTTATTTTTAGAGGAGACTCATTTTTTGTGTTCTATTTGTGCCAGGTAATAATATTAGCGTTCAACAATTAAATGATACTGTGGTTGTCTGCCAATGTTTGGAGAAACATATCCGACAGTCATTTTCAACCCATTGTGTTATCACACAGCAGACTGATGGCAGTTTGTGAGACGTCTAGGCATGTGTAAACCAACAACAAATAAAGCTCATGTTGTGGTCAGAAGACTTTCGTCGTGTTTGAGTTTAGAAGTACATCTGGAATAGGATCTCGTAGAAACAGTTGCAACAGGTGCATTAATGGCAAAAATGTCATTTATTTTGGTGACCTTGGTTTTGTGGGTACTATTTTGGCTTCTTAGTAGGGAAAATAATAATAATGATTTGTCATATTTTGAATTTGAGCTTGCATCTCATCTCATTGCATTGGAGCATGTGCAGTAACTAAGCCATGGCTCCAACTTAACACTTATATGAGGGAACGTCACATTTAAAAGGTTTGCTTTTTCTCTTCAGGGGCCACAGAGGAGCCGGAAGTGATTCCAGACCCGGCCAAACAGACCGACCAAGTGGTGAAAATTGCCGGCATCAGCGCTGCCGTGCTGGTCTTCATTCTTCTGGTGCTCGTGGCCATCCTGCTGGTGAAGAAAAGGTAAGATAGAGACATTTGGCTCTCTGAATGGGTGCCGTTACAGTACGTTTGTGTAGGCTCTTGAAATGCCCACGAGCACACCGACATCCTCCTTCCACTGCCATCTCATCACATCATCAGCACCCAGGGAGCAGCCGCAGGGGCCCCACCCCACCGCTGTCAACTAAACGCCACCCAGGGGCCGCTCGTTTCCCCAGCCTCTGCCTTCCAGCGTAACAAGACGAAATCTCAATTAAAGCCATTAAAAGAGAATCAAATGCACATACAGCAAACCCGTACACTTACAGTATGAGGACCTCCAATTTCTTGTTCTGAAATCTTATTATCCACCTAACAGATGCCTTCTGCCGTTTTACATTGCAGTCAATTCATTATTTAGCCCGTTTACAAACCATTTTTATTGATGTGAACGTTTTATTGTATCTGGTGGTGTTTTATAAATTTGAGGCATAATTTAAACCTGAAGTACACACACATTCAAATGCACACAGCCGTTCAAAAGTTTGGGGTCGGTAAGATGAATGTTGAATGATTTTGAAAGAAGTCTCTTCTGTAATGTTATTACAATTTAAAACAGCTGTTGTCTATGTGAATATGTTGTAAAATGTATTTTATTTCTGTGATCAAAGCTGAATTTTCAGCAGTCTTCAGAGTCACATGATCTTCAGAAATCATTCTAATATGTTGATTTGCTGCTCGAGAAACATTTCTGATTATTATCAATGTTGAAAACAGTTACGCTGCTCCATAATTTTGTGGAGACTGTGATACATTTTATTTTTTCAGAATTCTTTGATGAATAGAAAGTTCAAAAGAACAGCATTCATTTGAAACAGATTTTTAAATATTATAAATATAATATTATAAACATACTTGCTGAATTAAAGTATTCACTGTTTTCAGAGAGAAAAAAAAAATCTTACTGACCCCGAACTTTTGAACATGGTGCTGGAACCGTTTGATTTCCAGAGAATGCACGAGAATTAATTTGTAAATTTCACGTTGCACAGCATATACAGCAACTTTATTTTCCACATCTGTCTAAAAACATTATTAACAAATATCATGTGTACATTATTAGTATTATTGTGTATATGTACTGGCACATATATTTGTGGGCAGATTATTAGTAATAGTAGTCATTTATGTCTATTATTATTCGGTTGTTGTTTGATTCTGAAGTGTGTGGAAGCACAGGCCGGTTTTGAGAGAGCTTGCAGCAGCAGCCAAACACTGACTTGCACATGAATCAGCATTATTCTGGTGAAAAGTTGTATGAAAGTGTCACAGTGTAGCACTGTAGAGTGTGTCTGTGAAGTGAACATTCACAGGACACACCAGAGAATATTTGATATTTGTGAGACGAAGGAGTAGAGCAGAGTGTGTTTGTAAATGATGCTGAGCGTCTGCTGCTCCGTGGCTGTGCGAGTCTAAAGCAGGGCGAGCTGTTTTGTTCAGATGAGCTTTTGTAAATGAGTTACTGCTGATTGTTTTAATGGGGGTGTTTTATGTGCATGTCCACCTCCTCCAGATCACCTGACAAACTCAAGCCGCTCCACTCTTACTTTCACTTTTCCTCTCTCTCTCTCTCT